TAAGAAAGATAACAGGTACAAAACAAATATTACACTACAAAAAATAATTTAATAATTATGCAATAAATTAATGCAAAATAAAATTAATGCAAAAAAAAAATAATATAAATAAAATTAATGCAAAAAAAAATAAAATTTTTTTTCCTATTCATGAATTCTAATAACCAGTAAAACTTGTCTTATATAATATTTAAACTAATAAAATTAATATTTATAATAAATTCATAATATCTTAATTTGATCAATAAATTTTTTTATTAGTGCAAATTACTTAAAAATTATTTTAATAGATTTTAAAAATTTTGTTCAATAATTTAAGTAATATAACTTTTATTTTTAGTATTTCTTATTACATAAAAATAATTTTATATTAATTATTAATATTTATTATAGATGAAGAAAATTTGGTTTTCGATTTGAAATAAATTAAAAAAAAAATTATTATTTTGCAAGAATTCTTAATTTATATTTCACATTTTTATTTTCAAATAATAATTTTTCATTTTGAATAAATTTACAAGATTCGAGAAAAAATATTAAAAATTGATAATTTAATAAAAAAAATATTAAAATATATTTAAAAAAATTAAAAAATTAAAAATTCAAATCTCTTATTATTTCAAAAATTAATTTTACTGGATATATTATTTTTAAATATTAAATTTGAAATAGAGATCATTTTTTATTATTAGAAAATAATCATACAATTTTTTTATTCTACCTTAATATACAATATAACTTATAAAATCTATTATCAATTTTTATTTAAATTATTAAACTAAATGTCAATTGTTATTAATTATTTTATTTTAATAATATAAGGATACAAATTATATTAAAATAAAAAATTTATTTTATTTCATTTTGTATAAAATGATAAATTTCATAATGAAATATCTTTGTATATATATATTTCATATGAAAAATATCATATATCCAATGATATATCTAAATATTTTTGTGCAGAAACTTTAGATTAGGATTCTTTCCATTGATCAATGAAAATAATTGATGATTAAAGACATATCATTTTCAGTTTATATTTATTCAACTATTAATTATAATGATAAATTCATTAATTCTGAAATTGCTGCAACTATTTGCATAATTGAGATCTGCTGAATTAATCTAAATAAAAATTTAGAAATTCAAACATAACTCAAAGATAACTTTCTTCAATGATTGAAAAAGTATCAATGGATTGAATAATGCAATCAAAATAAAAAAGATACATTTAAATGACTATTACAGATCATAAAAAACAATATTTTCTTATATAAACCTAAATAAAATATAATAAAGAAAATTTATTTTTTAATTTTCTGTAGTTTCTGTGTAATTT